TCCTCTGCAAGACAGAAGGCACAGCAAGTAATCATTGCCTGCAGGACCACAAGGATTTGGCTCGACACAGAGGATATGGAAAATTACATGCCCTATAAGACCATTTCTCTGCTGAGTCCGCAACAGTTAGAATTCAGTAGAGTTATGGTTATCAGTCCTTGATTTTGTCTTCCTAAGGTATTTTGTGCTCCGAGGATCAGAGGACAGAGTTGCTTTGCGAAGAATCAACTGGAAACGGCATAGTTTTGCCCTTATCAGTCTACAAGGACTAGCTGGGGTTGGGATGGCTGTTTGGTTTTTCATCCAAATCACTGCGTGATAAGTTCATTGATTTCTTGGGATTGCTTCTTTGAAAAGTGTGTGAATTCTCTCACAGTCACATTCCTAGGTGCAGTCAGCAGAGACAAACCAGCCGCCAGCACTGCAGCCCAAACCCACAGCAACCTGCAGCCACCTCTTCCTCCCAGCAGCTGTTAGATCTTGTGCTCTGAAATTCACAAGCTCAGAGGCAGTCTCCAAAATCAGAGCATGATTGAGACAAGTAAGAGTTGAACAGTGAAAGAAAGTTGTGCTATAAGTCCAAGTATCCTGATCTTCCTAGGATATCTTATTTTCTCATTTATCATGACCAAGCATAGATGAAATCTGCCACAAGGATCATTTGCAACTCAGTCATCACAGAGTAAATCAGTTGTTGGTGAAAGGAAAGACCTGAGAAGTCAAGGCAGGCTGCTATTTTCCTTGGAAGAAGGCAGAATTGCCACAGTCAGATAACGCACTCACATTCTGCACATTCTGAAGACATTCAGCCCTATATAAATCACATTAATGCACACAGAAGACAATTAATGATGTGAGAAGGCAGCTGTTGTACACAGGGATGGGCAAGAGCTGGGTGACAAGGCAACTTCACAAAACAGGACTCTAATGTTGCCTGCAGATGAATTGCAGCTACTGTGAAGCAGCAGATTTACATGCTCAGTGGATGTTGTAAAGCCCCAGCTCTAACGCACCACACCCCACAGCAGTGACAGGGTGCTTCTTCATAACTCTGTGTCTGCCACAAGAACACAGTCAGCTTTTCTGAAGGCCACAATTAAAGATATTTCCCCATGGTGTGGGCAGGAGAGGAGAGGAAGTGAAAATTCCTCATAATTTGTTTTTAGAAACTCCTTCCCTTCTCAAGGTACAAATTACAGAAGTACAGTATCACTCCTTACAAATGATCTGTCACGTTAATCAGGTAGTCTCTAGTGAACTCATACATCATCATTTGTGCACCCCAGAGGCCCTGAAGTCTGATCACAGCTAGAACAGGTGAATCCATGTTATAACATATCTGTCACCACAGGAGAGCTTTAGGAAATCTGTGCTATGGTTCACACCTTGTAAATTCAAGAGGCTCATCCAGTAACTTAAATGGTTACTGCCTGAGTTGCTGGTGGCAACAGAAAATACTTCCTTCCATAACATCTCTTCTTGACTGAAATAGAATCATAAAGGTTGAAAAAGACCTTCAAAATCACCTAGCCCAACCATCTACTCACTGCCAATACTGCCCACTAAGTCACATCCTTAAGTAACACCTCTACATTTCTTGAAAACCCCCATGGACAGTGACTCCACCACCTTCCTGGGCAGCCTGTGCCAGTGCCCAACCACTCTTTTGGATAAGCTGTTTTTCCTTTTATTCAACTCAAACCTGATCCAGCACAGCTTGTCTGGTAGTACTGAAACACAACCAGGTTAAATCAAATAAGATTGGAGCAGCCAGGTGAAGGATGACAGCAAAGCAGCCCAAACACTAGATGTGAGTAGCCAAAGTTCACACATCGAGAGCTCTCAAACTCACCAAGAGTTTCCCTAGAAGATGGAAAAAACTACAGTAACAGATCCAGCTTTTAGCCTTGACTTACCTACAGGTCTTTAGTAAGTGAACAACTATGCAGATACAACTGGTGGTGTAGGAACCATGATTCCAGTACTGAAGGCCTAGAATGAGGCAGTGACACCAGAGTAGGACTGTGCCAGCACCAAGGGCTGCCCAGCCCAGGGTCACCACACTGAGTTGGGCTTCCTCACCCAAGCCATATTCCCCTCTGAACACCTCAGCAGTTTCTATGACATCTCTGCACACTGAAGACAAACTGCTGCATCAATAAAAGTTTGCAGGCTGAAAACCACTGATAACAAACTGTAGACTCCCCAGGGCCAGAGCCTGGAGTCTGAGAAAAATAACAAGATAAGCTAGTCAAATGTCAGCATCCTTAAATCTGCTATGAAGGTCTGCACCTCCCTTGAAAGATGTGCAAGTGTTAGCAGATCAGAAAAGTCTGAAAAATCACTAAGCCAGGATATTAAGCAATCAATCTGATCCCCTAACTCTCCACTATATTCCCTATTTCACTCTCAAGATGAGAAGAGACTCCATCTTAACTGATCTTGCTGCAACATCAGCTCAAAGCCAAGCAGATAAATGACCTCAAAAAAAAAAAGCTCTTTGAGTCAGAAACAGTGCAAATTAGGTCAAGGTTGGGATAATGCAGATAAGCCAAGAAGTTAAGCTTTAATGGCCAGGAGAGCAATACACAATAAGTTCCTAAGAAGAACAACACAAAACAAAGCCATCTGTTTTCTCACTGGCAGTTTGCTGCATATTGATACTTCAATGAATTTTCAAGGCAGAACACAGGAGCACCCAATCACCAGAGAACAGTATTAGCAGAAACAAGCTACACCTCACAACACTGCCATTATTTTTGCTGGCATCTCATTAATTATTTAGTGGTTGTTACTCATTATTTGCTTCACCTGGGGAAAGTGCTCAGCTCAGCAAAAGCACTCAGATGGTCCCCACCACATGGAGCAAAAACACAGAAAGGAGCAGGGTCACAATTTGGTCTCCTTTATCAAAGTTATAAATTACTGCAAACAACTCATAATGAGGTAAACTAGGATCTCCCTCATCATAGGAGATGGTGGCCATGGTCTGGTTCCAGCAGACCAGGAACTAGATGAAATATCTACTCCTGGGTGCCAACTCTATCCTGGAACAACACAGGGACTGCAAAGCAGCCACCAAGCCGGCCACACCATCCCACAAAATTTGTCCTACTTTGAACAATCAACACAAGTTTCATCAGTGAAATCATCCTTTTCCCCAAAGCAAGAAGGTCATGCCACACCAGAAGGGCTCTCACCTATGGAGCAAGGGCTTCTTGTGCTCATAACAACACTCTCTCCATCATCTTACATAAAGAGGCCATGAAACCATAAATGCTATTTTACACCCACAAAAATACAGGGACAGGTGTCCCCATCCCTTTGCCAGTGCTCTGATGCTGTGGTGTTAGGCTGTAATGCTATAATGTGATGGAAAGTACAGAAATAATAGCAGGGTGGCAAAGTTCTAAGACACATCAAACAAAGACAAGCCCAAACACTGCAGCTGCAAGCGTAGAAACAAAAGAAAAAAAATTGCTTACCTTAGGAAGACCTCAGTAGACAGGGATCTCCAGCAAAATACCCTCCCTTACACTGTCAGCCCTTAAATGAGTCTGGGAAGGGATCCTGGCTCCACCCCTTCCAGTTGCTCAGGAGCATTGCTTGCACCTGTTGCTTGCACCTGTGCTCCCCCGGGTTGGCCCTGCCCTCCCCCCAGCTGTTCAATCACTTCGTGATTCAGCATTTTTTGCTACCTGGCCCAAAACCAGATGTCTGTCCCACATGGTGTGTAAAAGTGTACTGAGCAGTTCCGAACGTGATCAGTAAAAGAGCAGCTGTCTAGCTCAGAAGATAGCGCCCATGTCAAACAAGAGAAATCTAAATAATCACATTTTTGGTTTTGAGAGGTATTTTTAACGTTTGCCCATGTTTAGCAATTCACTTATCTCCAGGGTTCTTTCTCTCTCATTCTAGAAAACTCCTTTCGCAACAAACAAAGGAATATCATCTTTCTCCTGTGATTCAATGACCCCTCATTTCAGCTTGGAGTTACTGGCAAGACTCCAGATCACAGCAGTGCACGATAATTGCCACAAGACATTCTTTATGGACTTCTAACACCCAGGCCAGGTGACCGTTCTGAAGAAGTAAGACTCCCTTGCATCTTCCAGCACACAGAGGACAGAGGATGCTTGCTACTCTTTTCATATTTTTTTTTTTTTATTTTTTATTTTTTTAGCTGTAAAGAAATATTCAGCCTTTTCTATATTTTTGCTCAGGAGTGCTGGAAAAGCAAAATGATTTCTCTAAAGTAATCATTCTACAACACATGTAAAATTTTCCCTACCCCAGTCAGCACATAAACACAGAGCCATTAAATGAGAATCCCAACAAGCATTAAAGCCTTTTGGAAGCAGTGTCACTGGCAGGCAGAGCTGCACGACACACAACAACACCAGCAGAGGCTTTAGAAGCAAACACAACTATTTTCTCATTACAACACCCTCTCTTATACCAGGTGGTATCTTTCATCATTCACCTGCTTCAACACCAGCATCATTTATAGGAAATGTGAGCTGCCCCAGTGTAAAGGTCTCAGATATTGATGTGAGTATGCCAAAAATGTCTTTGCAGTACAAAGCTTTTGCCACAAGGTGCCGTTCCAGATTGGGAAAGCCATCAGTTCTCGCAGCCGCTGGACTGCAGGGTTGGTCCTTTCAGGCAATTTTCATTTAGGGAAATCTGTTTGAGTGGTAATGGGGTGGGCTCAAAGCCAAGCGTGCTCTTCCTGCCTCCTCCCTGTACTCCCAGGGCTGGGGGACTGCTTCACCAAAAAAAAACAGTGGCAGCTGTGGCGAAGACCAGCAAATTGGACTCTCTTCCTTTCCCCTGATCGCATACAGAAACTACCAACTGCCATACTAGAAGATAGCACAGGGTGAAAGAAGGAGCTTTGAAAGCTGTGCATCCTCTTCCGTTCTCTTCATCCCCAAGGGAGCAGAGAGGGGAAGGAAGGGAAACAGTTTCCTTGGAGAAGAATTGGCTAAAAGAGCAGAATGGACCGCTTCCGGATGATCTTCCAGTACTTCCAGTCCAACTCAGAGTCTGTAATGAATGGAATCTGTGGGCTGTTAGCCCTAGCTAGTGTAAAGATTTATACCTGCCTTGACTTCAGCTGCCCCTGCCTGCCCCGCTACAACATGGCATACGGCTTGGGGATCATGTTTGTGCCCCCCATCGCCCTCTTCCTTTGCGGCCTCATCCTCAACAGACAATCTCTAGTGATGATGGAGGAGTGGAGGCGGCCACAGGGACACAGGAGGAAGGACCTGGCTGTCATCAGGTGGGGTTTGCACCAGGAGCAGAGCCCTTCCTTCCACTTCTCCTCTATCCTGTCTTTTCTCTGTATCTCTCTTCCTCCTGGTAAGTCAACTTCTTCTAAATTCATTTCCACACTTCACCCCACGAGTGTGGAGTCTGGGACATGGTCAGTGCATGCATGGGTTTTCCACCAGGGCATAAATGTGCAAGATGATATGCTTGTATGTGCAAAAAGAGTACCATTACCATTGTGGTCATTCTTTATCACCAGCATTGTGATTTCCTTCCCTTCAGCTCAGTTATTGCCGACATACCAGTAAAATGGCAAGGAGAACCAGTTTCACCCTTTTACAGACAAACCATTGTCCAGAACAGAGGTCACACACAGCACAGTGAGAATGACTTTGAAGAAATGGGATTTCTCAGAGAGAAGCTGAGCTCCTGTCTCTCTTTTGCTTCAGGTACATGTGCTGCTCCATCATGCAGCGAGCCATGGTTGCCCCAGCTGTTTGGATCGTGGTTACCCTCCTGGATGGCAAATGCCTGATCTGTGCCTTCAGCAGCTCTGTAGACCCCAAGAAGTTTGCGGGCTTTGCCAATGCCACCCTGGCACAGGCACAGGAGATGCTCACCAGGGTGCCCTGCAAGGAGGATGAGCTGATGAGGAACAGCACATCCCGCAGGGCAGTGTCCAGGTACCTGCACTGCTGGTCCCAGGTGAGTGGCTGCCAGCTCAGCCCCATGGCAGGGATGTGCTCAGGGCACCCACTCTTCATTCAGCACAGCTTTGCTGTGGTCTGGCTGGGAGTAGGGCTGCTCTTTGCTGTCTTACACCCCAAAACACCACTGCCTTCAGTGACAATCTCCAAAGTCACCTCAGAAGAGAAAAAGAAGGAAGGAAAGTTTTTGGTTTTGTTTTTTTTTTATTAGCATAATTTTGCTTCTAAAAGAACCAGCACATTCTAAACCCATTTAATAAAAAGCAGGTTGTGAAGAATATCAGAGCCTGCTAACACCCTGCCTGCTTAGAACCAAAGTTTTCTAACTCAGCAGGTAGGAGCTACTGCTTTAAGGACAGTGAAAGCTGAGACAGGTGAAAGCAGTTTGTTCAGGAACAATGTGAGAGCAGGACACCTGGCTTCAGAGCATGTATAGATAGCAGGTGGCTCTCAGTGGAGATAAGTGGGTGCCAGCAGAAGAGCATCAAATCCCCTTTATCTGAGGCTCCCATGCTTAAAACAAATGCTCCAGACTTCTTGCAAAGAGTTATTCTACTGTAGTACTGATGCACAGATAAATGTCATGTATTCACTGGAAAGAGGTGACTGCCTCCCCAGCACTCTCAGCCTAAATGCAGTTTCAGGAGCTGGGTTTAAGGGACAGATAAAGACAAGAGTCCCAGTATACAATTACATGAAGTCCTTTCTCAGCAGTACAAGAAAACAGCTTGTGTCTGTCCTTATGCTTATGTTGATCCTGTTCCTCTGCTTGTTTCTTATCACCCAGGCCCTCGGCTGGAGCATTTTGTTGATCCTCATCATAGCTGTTTTCCTTGCCCGCTGGCTCACACCTTGCTTCAACCAGGCTGCCCTCCTCCAGACACGTCACTGGAGTAACTACATCGACATCGAGCAGAAGATTTTTGAGGAAACCTGCTGTGAGCACAGCCGGCTCTTTGCTCACCAATGCATCCTTCACTTCTTTGAAAGCATGCGGAAAGAAATCAGACAGCACAGCTTTGACTTGCCTGGAGAGAATGAGAGAGAGGAAGATCTTCTCCGGGGCATCACAGACCACAATCAGGTGAACAAACTTCTGAAAATGTGGTACTATGAGAAACCTTCCTTGGATGTAAGCCAGGCGATCCACAGACAGCCTCTGGAGCAAGAGAGATCTCCACCCTGGGCAGATAGCTGCAGTGCCAGGTCTAAATTCACCCAGCACACCCATATGTGAAGAGGAGGTTGTCCCGAAGTCAATCCAGGTGTGTCTAGCAGATGGATGGCCAAAGTGCTCACCTCTTCTTCCAGAACCCCAGGTCCAAAGGCTGGGCTCTGGAGCACCCAGCAGAACCTCCTAGCAGAATTAGTAAGACTCAGCTCCCAAAATCCCAGAGTTCCAGAATCACCGGAGTCAGCATTCGCCACAATACTCATCCAAGGGCTCTGAATTGTGCTTTTGTTATCTTGAAGAGTTTGTAGCTGTGACAAAGCCCTTCTGGCTGGGCTGGTTGGTGTTCAGAAGGCTTTGCATGCACCAGCATCATGCCGTGGACAGGACACACCTGGTTTTTACACACTTCTTGTAGATTTTAGCACAAACCAATCTACCCAAAGGATCATCCTTACATCTCTGGGCATAATCATCCTTAGTTTCAGCACCATTTGAATGTAAGCTCTGAGCCTCTAATGCCAATTACTTTCTCATCCACTCTTTCTAGCCTCTGTTTTAGATGTTTATCATGATATGGGTTTGACTGATATTTCTGTCCAGCAGTGCTGCTTGGTTGCATTAAAATTCTTACTGTAAACCCCATGCTGCATTGTTCTTCCTTCCCTCATCTCTGTTCCCCATCTTTTCATGCCATTATGAACTTTTCTGACTTTGATTTAAAAAAATCAGCTCTGCCAGATATTGAAATGCCACAGAAATACCCCAGGCACACCCCAAGCCGTGTGTGCAGTGCCCGCTGGGATCAGCACAGAGCTCTTCCCGTGCTCTTTAGCTCCAGGGTGTGATTGCTATGCTTTCCTTCAAAATAAACATTGCACTTTGAATTTCAGCTCTGGTTTACTATCACCAGGCATGACACCACAAATCTCACCCTGAACTTTGCTGCAGACTCACCACTCCACACAAGTCAAATCAGCGATTTTCCTAGCCTCACTCAGTCCCGAGGTCTGCAGCTCTCCTTTGCATGCTACTTTGCATGCTACTTTCCATGCTTTCAGGCTTTAAGCCATCTCAGAGTGGCCACAAAACACAAAATGCAAAGAAGGAGGTGTGGGGTAGTTTTATTAGCTGTGCTGGGAGGAAACAGGAGGATCAGTCTGGTCACAGAGTAGCTCTGGTTGATAGGGGGGTCCTTGTCAGAAAAGTTGTATGTGCTCAGGCACTCAGTCTTTTTGTGACCTCTTGGCCTTTGACCTTCACCCCCTGACTTTTGACCCAATGATTTTTTTTAGCTTTTGATCGGGACTCAAGACAAGATCCACCCTTTGATCCATACCTTTTACATCATGTTCAGGTGCCACAGTTTCTACACATCCTAATTACCAACATGTATCTTGCTTTTTGATACACACATAACATTCCTGTAGTCAATGGACCATCAGCATACAATGCTGATAATGCTCATTTAGTTCCTAACTCTGGATTCAATCTGTCATAACAGTCCTTCAGTTCAGGTAGAATGACCTTTAAGCTATTGATCTTTGACCTAGTGACCATTTAGCCTAATACACATTGACTTTTGGCCTGGTTACCTTTGACCCATTGACCTTTGAACTACTGACCTAATATCTATTGACATATTGACCTATTGATCAGTCACCAGCTGACCCAACAATCTCTAAGTGACTTAACCCAGCTACATTCAAGGGGAGACTACCCCAACATTTATCACAGCAGGAGGATCACCTAATTTGACCAGTTGGTTGTGCTGTTTTAGGCACCTGACTGTTGAGTGTTGGATATGGATTTTTTATTTTTAGCTGAAACCAGTCTGAGGGAGACATATTCTCACTTAAGAGAAGCTTATTTTGAATCAGTTTAAACTCATTGGGAACCAGTTTAAGCTGAAGTTCAGTAGATCAGTCACCAACAAAAATAAATGTGCTGCTCAGAGCTTTCAGTGATCTAGCTGCAACACAACTACATAAACTTACTGCAGCCAGGCACAATTTCCTCTCTATTTCTCTGCATCTGATTTTCATACCCGGACACCTGCAAGTGCAAATTAGGCGTTTATGCTCATGCAAACTACCCACTTCTGGAGTTAGTAGCCATTGGTAGCACATAAGTATGTGTGTACTACCAGTGTGCTGCATATTGACCTATAAGTACTGTGCATAAGTACTATGACTGTTATGCAGATGCAGAAATTTTGGAGATTACACACACAGTAGTCTGTGTTCCAGATATGTTCCTGAGAAGTTTGGCTCAGTTAAAACCTGACTTGCTGTTTATGTCCTACATCTCTCTTCCTATTTCACAAAGCAGCATTGAAGCACCAGGTTGCTCCTTCAAGCTGGCCAAGAGATGGGGGAATATTTGGATTCCAACTGGTCTTACAGTGGCGATGCCCAGAGGTCCCTTTCCACCTGCTTTATTAGGAAACTGTGCTCTCATACGACAGTAGGAAGGGAGAGGGTGACCAACAAGCTTTAGCAGCTCTTTGTCTCTCAGGGCTGTCCTAATGCCCAGAGTGCAGATGTGTCTGAAGTCCTCAGGGCCCTTCACCCACCAGGAGTCCATGAAACAGTGATGCTGACTGCAAGGACAGATTTCCCCATCCCACCATCAATGTTCCCAATGATATGGGAATCGTGACCACTTTCCTGTCCCTCCTCTCTATCTCCTGTATTCACTGGGGCACACAGAGCCCTACGCAACTCCCTGTTATGGTGTCTAACTGGGCATCCGGGTGCAGGACCCCAGATCGGGATGGATTTGGACATGCACCACCTCTGCCAGGCCTGGTTTCCAAAGCACAAGCAGATGAGGTCATGCTGTTTCTGTACAGAAAATTTGTTGGAGTGAGCTTCCTGCTGGAAGTTCACAAAAAAAGACTCTCTCACACAAAAATAAGGAGAGATCAAGATCGACATATATGAACCCTGTTTTGATCCCTACTGAGTTGCTATTGGCTTCCATGAGAACTGTTGCTGCTGCACACCAAACAGACTCAGGCTCCTCATTCATCTTTAATGAAAGTTTTCCTGGAGATCAAAAATAGTTCTCTGCATTTACAAGGCTGATTCATGGCAGCTTTGATGTAAACTGCCCTTCAGAAAGCCACGCACCAGGTGAGCAGAGAAGCCAGCTGGCTCTCCTAGCTAGAGATACAGTAATCCTCATCTGTATTCATGCAGGCAAATCTCTTTCCGTTTGATGAGATCATGCAATTAACCTCTTTGCAGCAGGCAAAGCTAGGACTCACTGGGTGTTACCAGTGTGCTTTGTGATCACCTCTGTGGTGGTACCACTTTGACACTCATGTCAGTAGCACAGGTGGTGACAGGCTGGAGGGAGTGAATGCCTTGCTGGTGGTCAGCACTGCAGCAGTATGTTTAAGGCCACTTAGAGTCCAAATATTCCAGTATTTTTTGGGCAGCTTGAAGGTGAAATGTGGTGCTCCGAAGCTGCTTTGTGAGATGGGAGTCAAGATGTATGAGAGCAGCAATAAAATCCACTTGTTTTTGGTTTGTTCTGTAGAAGCTAAGCTCTGGCTGATGCCGATTTTGAGGAGGAAAATCTGAAGCCCCATTTTCTATCTATGTTAGCAGAGCAGAGGTGGGGCATCCTGTCCAGCGTGGGAGGCACTCAGCTGCCCTGCTGAATTTGCAAGCAGGTTCACAGAGCCCAACCAGCAAGTCCCATTCCTGCCAGGGCACAGATTGCTCTGGGCAGAGCACAGCCAAGGCAGCACCTGTGCCCAGCAGCCAGGAGGACTGGTGACAGAGAGACTGCAGAAATGAGGACATAGAGAAGAATGGAGACAGATTTAGCAAATGAGAAACAACCCAGGTCCCGGGGACACAAGGAGGAGTGAAAGGACACAAACCTTGAAGTTCTGCAAGCAGCAAAATAAACAGGAAATAAAAAGTTGCATTTTCTGCATTAAATACTGGGGCTGTCAGAGCGCGTAAGTAAATTGCTGAACTCTATAGAGACTTGCTGATGTCCATCTTTGCAGAAAGGGTCTGAAAGAATGAAATAAACCAAAGACTCAGCTTGGACCACAATAGGGGAGGAATTGTTTCAGGAGGAAGATGGACAAGTTTCGGATGGTCTTCCAGTTCCTCCAGTCCAACCAGGAGTCCTTCATGAGCGGCATCTGTGGGATCATGGCCCTGGCCAGCGCCCAGCTGTACTCAGCCTTTGATTTCAACTGTCCCTGCCTGCCACGCTACAACCTGGCCTATGGGCTGGGCGTCCTCCTGGTGCCTCCCCTCATCCTATTCCTGCTGGGCTTCGTGCTGAACAACAACGTGTCCATGCTGACTGAGGAGTGGAGGCGACCCCAGGGCCAGCGGAGGAAGGATGCGGCCGTCCTGCGCTACATGTTCTGCTCCGTGGCACAGAGGGCCATGATTGCCCCAGCTGTCTGGGTGTCAGTGACACTGCTGGACGGGAAGTGCATCACGTGTGCTTTCTGCACCGCACTGCCCATGGAGGCCCTGGGCAATGCCAGCCACCGAAGCCTCTCCCAGGGAGAGATGAAGCGAGTCCTTGCCCGCATCCCCTGCAAGGAGATCTATGATGGGCAGGAGCTCGTCGCCAATGAAGTGGCCATCAGGTACCTGCGCTGCATCTCACAGGTAAGAGGCATCACAGCTATGTCCTCTCTGATGGCTTAGGGTTAGGTGCTGACAGCCTTAGCTCTGTCTTAAAGGGGGGATTTCATTGAAATAAAGCTTCAGGAGGAGAGATGGGCTGTTTTGCAGGGGGACAAGTTGTACCCTTCACAGCAGCCTCTCGGACTCCTCTCCACCAAGCCTGGTCCAGGTGTTGGCTCCCTGACCACAGGCACCCCTCTGCTCCATCCCAATAGTGGCAGGTTTCACCTTGACAGCATTCCCATGAACAGCAGAAGGTGACTATGGGGCAGGGCTTTGGAGCAAGGACCCATGTCCTGACCCCACTTGGTCCAGGCTGACCAGCCCAGGATGGTGATGCACAGCGGAGCTGTATACCAAGAATCAGTTAGGGCAAGTTCAGAAGGAGTAAATGTAGTTGTTACTCCATGACTGCCACCACCTCATGTAACCCACTGTTAACCTGTGGCTGCTCTGGGCACTAGTTATAGCTCATGTAAGCAATGGGCTGATAACCAGTTGCCTCTGCTGCTTGTGTTTATTAGCCACACCAGGTAACCACAGATGAAAAAGTTCCAATAACTCCTCGTCCTGTGCTTAATTCTTCTCAAGTCCTTTGCTTCTGGCCACAGCTAGAATCAGGATGGTCCAATACTCTCTCATCACTTGTTTTCTGTTTTAAAGTTGCTCTTCCTGTGTTCCTTAGGACAGATAGGAATCATTCCTATTTTTAGAAGAGAAATGAAGCTTGGGAAGAAGGGGTTATTAGGGTCTGCTCATGATGGATCTAGTATTCCCACTCATCCCCACAGGCCCTAGGCTGGTGCTTCGTGCTGCTGATGACCACGCTGGCATTCTTGGTCAGATCTCTCCGGCCCTGCTTCACCCAAACTGTCTTCCTGAAGAGCAGGTATTGGTCCCACTACATTGACATCGAGCGCAAGCTGTTTGATGAGACATGTGCAGAGCATGCCAAGAGCTTTGCCAAGGTCTGCATCCAGCAGTTCTTCCGGAGCATAAGCAAAGACCTGGTGGCAACTCACTGCCACCCACCCAGAAAAGCCCCCACAGATGCTGGGGAAGCTTCAGAGAAACTTTTAGGCATCACCGACTGGGGCACTATGAACACAGCCCTGAAAAGCTGGCACAGGTGCAAGCCCCCACTGCACCTTCACCCAACTGCACCCCACAGCAGCAATGGCTGGGCTGGGGAATGGCAGCCCCCCACACAACCCCACATGCAGCCCCCTGCTCCCCGGCGGGAGGCTGCAGTCTACTACAGCAGGGTGTGAGCAGAAGCAGAGCCACACTTTTGGCTGGGGTGATGAGCACCCAAAGGGTGCACGAGCACCCATAGGGCAGCACTGACACCCAGGTGACCCCATCTGCTCCCCATATGCAGCCCTGCAGCCTGCGTAATGCAGACAATGAGCTCTGGGTTGAACAATGCAGCTGGCCAAGGCTCGATGTGACAGATGAGCCCTGGGGATGCTGGGGCACGTTGTGCATCCCGTGGCACCATGCCACAGCTTTGTGTGGAAGCAGTTGCTGACGCATATGTGCAAAACTTCCTTTCTTTCTTCACATGCACTTCATGGCCTGTGACAGAGCTGGAGCAGGCAGAGCTCCCTGCAACACCAAGGATTGCTGTGCATTTGGGCAGCATTGCAATATCCCCAGTAAAGAATCAAGCTGGGCTGCTTGTCTCCCCATCAGCCCCCCCGTGCACTGACCCCTACACACACATACAGTTTCCAGGCCATGAGAAGATTTAAAATAAAGGCGATGCAAAGATAAACCTGAAAAGGGGTATCCTACATTGTGAGGGAAGAGGTGGTATCATGAGTATGGCTCAAGGGGAAACTCCTGAAACGGGGTGCCTGGACCAGGAGAGGTGGAGGCCAGGCTGAACCTCCTGCCAAGAACTTTCTGCAGGATGTTCCATTCTTGCAGCTTCACCTGGATTCCTCTCCAGCATGAAGACAAACATTATACATCAGCGCAGGTGTTTGTTTGAGAAGTCAGCTCCAAATAAATATCTCAGGCTTACTGTTCAGGCTCGATGCACAAGAGTCATAAAGGCTGTTTATAAAACCATCGGGGTTTCTTTATTTCAGTACAGGGACAAGGAGCTGGGGCAATATGTGGGACTGGCATGGGCCAGCCACAGCCCACGGAGGAACAGTTGGGTCAGCCACATGGCTGCAGGGTGCAGCACCCAACCTTTTGCAACAGCAGGCAGGCACTGATTTCCATACAGCCCAGGGATGACAGAACCCAGGGCCTTGAGGCAGCAATGGAAATCTCTCCATTCACTCCTTGCTCTCATTGCACTAGCAGCACACAGGAGAAAAAAAAGCTTTTAGAAACACAAATTTTACCCGTGCTGCGTCCCTTTCTAAATGCTCATCCCCTTGAAATTTCTCCTACCGCATTCTTGTTTAAACTAACCCATTATGGCTCACTGGTAACTGAGGTGACTGTTCTGAACATAAACCTTAATTACCGGTGTCTAACTCCACAGAGGCTGTGGGGAGAGAAGAACAAAGGACAAAACGAAAATGGAATTCTTCAGTCTGCTCTGTAGCATGAACCAGCCCATGGTCAAAGACTGAGTGTGGCTGACTCCCGGGAGAAAGGAGCATGACACAGATTTATCATTAATCTTCACACCCCAAACTGTAATTAAAGCACCTGCCCAGAAATTAATAGACACAAAACCTGATTTACAAGCAAAGGAGATTAAAAGATAAAGGCGGTTTCCACTCCCATTACTTGCAGCTCAGCACTGTTCATGGCTCACCAAGAAAGCTGTACCCCAAGTCCCACTACAGCTGTGATCAGCATGCGGGGCCAGCCGGCTCCATCCACATACCAAGGAACCTACGTGCATTTGCAAAGAAAAGCTTTTGGAGTTTCAGTTTAGACTTTGAGATCAAAGCTCTGTCCCATGTAGCAACTTTGGCAGTCCCTGCAGAGCAGGAATGGTGATCTTCCTGTGCTGACACTTTGTCCCAGCAGCTTTTCTGGATTTTGGGGACATATCTCATCACTGGTGGGAGTAGACCCCTCACTGGGGGATGCAGAGTGGCTCCCACAGGCTGCGGTCCTGGCACAGAGTATGTTTGGCAGTGGGGCTCTTGGAGTTGTGGGACTGCCATGCATGCAGTGCACTCCGGCATTGCACTGCTGCAAAAACCAGGGCCAGCACAAAGGGATGGGGTAAGGCTAGAGCCTTACCAGGCTGAAGGATGAGGAGTACTCAAGACAAAGATTTCAGCTGGACCACAGTCATTGGCTTAGCACTGGTTTGCTCTGGGCAGAGGAGAACGTGAGTGTTACTTGAAGGTTTGCCTGTGCTGAAGAGATTATCATGAGAGCACTGAGCTTAACCCTAGGGACACAGTGCCAAAGAGGCTGGGGAAAAGGGACAGAGCCTCTGGTCTCTGCGACAGGCTGGAACTGGAGCCAAGGGACAAGCAGCAGAGAGGAGAAAGCAAGGCATCAGTCTACAGAGGAAGTAGAAAGCAAAAAGGCAGAGACAGACAGGAACATGGCTGCAATCTCCAGCTCATGGGCTGCACTCAGCCCCAAACACACAGCTTGTCCCACGCAAACCACAGCACTGCATAGCAGCCATTACACCCCTCTGCTCGATCCACAAGAGTGGGTCCATCTCAGAGGCAAGAAGCAAAACCTGACAGAGTTTGTGGTGATGGGTTCCTGCTCCTCTCGAAAACCCAGCCAGACTGGCATTATCCCCACAGGCTCAGCCAGCTCTCAGTCACAAAAACAGCAGTTTCCACCCCTTCCCCTGAGACGAGGAAAGGGCTTCTCCCACACTGCCCCAACCTGCTCAGCTGGGGTCCCATCCTCATTCCCATGGGTTCCAGCCTCGGTCCCACCAGCATCCTCTAGGGAGCATGGGGGTCACATCCAGACCAGACTAGGGGCTCCAGAATTTCCCCCTCACATTCCATCCAGGCATCCATTGCTCCTGTCCTGCAGGCAAACCCCGTCCTCCCCACAGCCAGCCTCTGCACAGCTGCATCGCAGATCTGAAACATACCAACGTGCTTTTTCCACTGACTCATTCTCGGCTTTTCCTTCCTTTCTTTTTTTTTTTTTTTTTTAAAGGCACAACCTCAGTCTTGCACCCAGCAGAAGCCACGCGCCTGCTCATCGCCCCACCCAGGCGCAGGCCCCAAGAACAGCCTCCTCCCTCCCTCCCTCCTTCCCAAAAGCTGACAGCCCAGGGCACACTGCAAAGGAAGCTGCCGAACTTGAATGCGAACTTGAATACGGCTTTACCCACTTTTGCTTCGCCCACCCTCCTGGCCTCAGCTGGACCCTCCCTGCTGCTCACCCCCTTGCTGCTGGGAGAGCCCCACTCCTGGAGCCTGAGTGAAACCAGCTAGACAAAGTTCCAGAAGGATTTCAACGGCTTTCCAAGTAAGTGATGGCATTTTTTCACTTTCTTTCAGAGATGTCTCAGGAAAAGACTAACACTGCCTGCTAAAAAAGTCTTTTGCTGAAAGCATCTTTTCCCCTCCCATCCTACCCACCCATCTCTCCCATCATAACCCAGCAGCAAAGCAAGGGTAACCCCTTGGCCAACATAGCATGCTCCTTGCCAGCTCCTCTTCTTTTTGCTTTGCCTGGCACCAGGATCTGGAAGAGAGGTTGCAAAGCCTTGCTTATCAGCTTTTTCTAATAAAAGGGATTTGAACACCATGCACCAGGGCAAGTTTGGAGCTTTAGTGTTCTTGCTTGCATCACAAAGCACAGCAGCCAGAACTGCAGGCCGGAGCTGCTGTCACGTGGCTGCGGGTTTTGGCTTTAAGGAGGGAATTTTGTATATGGAAACCTGGGAAGATGCAGGAAGGTATTAAAGGCACTGGGTGCTTCTGTTAGAGGAGGATGAACTATGGCGTCTTTCTCTCACCTGCACAAACGCCCCCATAGCCTTTTCCTTGTAGCTGGGGCTAGCACAGGGATAGCTCACCCTGGATTTTGGGACAGTTGTGCTGGGGTGTCAGGTCTCCCCCAGAACTTCTGTACAACGATACGCATGCTGCCAGTGCTGCACAAACCACCAGGGACTGTTAGTCAGCTGTCCAGGTCTTTCATGCCTCCAGCAAACCCCGAGGCTTGCAGGCTTTGTCAGACTTGAAGCTTCCTGAAATTAAACCACACAGGGGTGCAGAGCAGATGCAAAGGAAACAAAGAAATCAGCTAAGCAACACTCGCAAAGGGGACAGCAAGGCAACTGTGGGAGAGAATCATCCTACCACATCCCTTGCTAGCAGGAACTTCTATGTAATTTCAGGCCCAGCTCTATCAATATTCAGTGTTTGTACATTGGATCACAATAAGCTTTGCTTTCCCAGAAAGTAATATCTCTTGCTGGCACCAGCAGCCCCTTGCCCAGTTGCAGAGACCCCTGATGGAGAAACAGGACTGCATTAGCACGGGGCCAGCTGCCACTATGTGCAGTAAAAGGGAAGGCACATGCAGAGCAGCAGGACACCATCCTCCAGTAGGTCCTCAGCCACTAGCTGCTGCTTTCCCATTAATGTTTCTCCAACCTGATCCTCCCATGAAGCATCTCCCTGTACCCAAACCTACCAGGCAAACTTGCAGCACCCATGGGACTCATTTCCTGCTGTCTCCCTGGCATACTTCAGGCTTTTACTAAATATTAACTCATCAGGTCTAAGGAGGGAGGGCTAGAGTGTGAGTCATTGGCAGGGCTGGGGACGCATCCATGCCCCACTGCTCTGGTCCAGTTTCCCCAGTAACACAGCGTCCTCCTTCATTACAGGCCTGGGAGATCAATAAGTGTCCAGCAGCATCACCAGTGGTCATCGCTTCTGTGGGATGTGACTAAAGCCAAACGAAAGACTATGAATGTGCTAATGACAAGGGTAGAAATGATCGTCCCCTTGGTAATCTTTGCTACAGAAATGCTCTTGGACAGTTTATTGAAAAACTGAGGAGCCTGAGGTTTCCTTCATTGCTTAAGCTGAATTCCTCCTCAATCCATTCCGAAGTATCCCTGGTAGCAGCCAGCTCCAGAGGCTGGGACACCAGCTATCAGTGACTGCAGTGAAGGTGTTGTGCTCCCTTTCATTTCAGTCATCCCAAGGCCATTTCACTCCCTCATCGTGTCCCTCAGTGCTGGGACGTGGGCCAACACAGCCCCCCACCGCAGTAGGCACCTCCTCTCATTCTCCATCTCCAGGATAAAATGGCTGCCCTTATCGCTGAGAACTTCCGCTTCCTCTCCTTG